ATTGTAATGTTATATTCGAATATTTGTAAATGTTACTGTATTATTTGCTATCTCTTTCTATCTCTTACGAGCTGATTTTTCAATGGTTAATAAGTTATCTAGGGAATAATTATGATGCTGTCGCGTCATAATCTTTGTATCAGACAGTGACAGCAACAATTTTATTCCTCAGATAACATTTATCTGAGTATTGAAAGATCAGCCCTTAGTAATTTAATAGTTGGACGTATAAAATTTTAATGCCAAAATTCTTATTTGATGGGAACAGGCGATAAATAATTAAGGTTCAACATCATACATCTGATTTCAATGCCAATGTAGTAATCCTTGTCTGCAATTAGTAAACTTTAATTTACAGTAAAATATTGTTTTGATGTTTTTTTTTATTTAATTTATTTTTATTTATTTAAGTTTTTGATCGACTTATTCGTTTTATTTTTGTAATCGTTCAATTATTGGTGTGTTGTGTATGTGAATTTGTATGTTTGTAAACGCACTCACGACACAGGAGAAAATCCTAGAGTGGGGCAATGTTTTTCTAAAAAAAAAATATTATTGTATCTAAATCAATACTTATTATTTTTTATGGACAGTATTGTAAAGCTTGAATTTGTAATATTGTTTTGATGCTCTCCTATTTTTTTTATCAATCGTCCTATTATCATCGTTAACTTATATACATACATATATAAGATAAGTTATAAATATTTTCATTTTATTTTGTTTACATCTTTCTTTTGTATTTAAAGCAGTTATATTTTTATGGGTAATATTGTAATCGATATTAATTTTATCGTTAAAATAATATTATTTTCAGATAATTAAAAAAATTGGTAACAGAAATTGGACTCTCTATCTTTACCTTCCCCAAAAGTAAAAATAGCATGACTTGGCATTTTTTACCATCACATTATACCTACACATACTCGCACGCACACACACACACACCTATCGTCATAATAACAGTATTACAATATTAAATGCAATATAAAATTAGGGACAATGACAGAGTATGATAAATGAATAAACATCTATTTAGTCCTATATGACTGTTATTCTTATAACTGTTTACTTAAGTGGTTACTCAAAGCAATATTCAGAAATAATTTTCATACCAGACTTTTCCTACCATACCAGACCTTGACTACAGAATAGTTAAGGTAAACATTAAAGATGGGTACGACTGTTAAATACTGAAAATATTTATCTATAGTTACTAACCTATGTAACTTTGATGATGTAGAAAAGAAAAAATACGCACCTTTTGTGTAATTTAATGATCCAGGAGATCTATGCAGGTTGGCAGGCCACCAAGTAAGTGAACTTTTCACATCAGTCATCACATCATCAGCCCACATGTATCCACTGCTGAGCAAAGGCCTCATCTCACACGGAGAAGGTTTGCGCATTAATCACCAAGGCTTGCTCAAGGCGGATTGGCGATTGTAAACTTATAATTAGAAAATTTATAAGTCCAGGTTTCCTCACGATGTTTTCCTTCACCGTATGTCATGTCATTGGTGTCTAAGAAAGTACGTAAAAGTTGGAAGAAGTCACTTTGGTACTAGCCAGGTTTCGAGCCCGCACCCTCTTGCATGTGAAGCAAGCGCCTTAACCTCCAGGCTACTACGACATCACAACTGTTTACTTATGATACAATCTTTTTGTCGTGAGTATTTCAAAAAAAAAACTTCATATTGTTATTTTTTTTACATTCTAATCCAGACTTTCGCCGCTACCAAGCTAAGCAGATATCTAGAAAATAATTTTCCTTTTTTAAATTATTCTTTCCGCTTTCTTTATTAAGTATGTTTTCATTCATCTTTCCAATTGTAGGAAAGCCATGCTTCGGCACGAATAGGTCGGCTGACCGGAGTGATACCATGGCCTCACAGAAAACTGGCGTGAAACAACCACAATGTTACATTTTGCTGTGTGAGTAAGATTACCCGAGGGCCAATCCTTCCCTTCTCCCAATTCCTCCCAAAACATCTAAATCCATAATCTCCAATAGGTCAGCAACGCACTTGTAACTCTTCCGTTGTTGCGGGTGTCTATGGGCGGTACTGATTGCTTACCATCAGATAATCCGTATGCTCGTTTGCAAAGGAGTTTTTTACATAACCATTACTTTATTTAGGGCTGATTTATCAATGGCTATAAAAAAGTTACCTTAGGAATAAAACTGTTGCTGTCACTGTCTTATAAAAACATTCTGACGCGACAGCATCATAATTATTACCCAGGCAACTTTTATCTAACCATTGAAAAATCAGCACTTCATGAAAAATTGTTCATATCGCAAGTAAAACACGAGTATTCTGACATTGGATGCTGTAACCCTGAAACCTGTTGCATCGCGGGTCCGGGCCGAAACCACGACACTCTCATACGGACGCATTATATTATCCGTGTCGATAAACGATGGGATTTTCGTTAACCTTTCATGGGAAACCCGGTTAACCCGCTACAGGGATCTGCCTTGTGCAATTTGACGTTCAACAGCAGTATCAAGTAAGTAAGTAGTTATATAATTTAATTACCTATTTCAATATAAAATTGCTGTTTTTCCTCAAAATTGGATCTACATTAATATGTAGTTTGTTCAAAATGTAGTTTTATTTTTGTGGAATGCTATAAAGTTGTAGTTTCTTAATGTTAAAGATTTACTCATAGATGCTATTTTTAAGTTGAGGAAAAATTATCCATTAACTAAGGGTGGGGCGAGAGGAATTGGGTAGCTTCCTAGGTCAAAAAAATATTCTTTCTTTAAAAAAAAAAAAACGTTGCCCCACATTAGGATTTTCTCCTGTGTCGTGGGTGCGGTTACAAACATACAATTTCACATACACATAACATCCAGACCCGGAACAACAATTTGTGGATCACACAAAGAGTTGTTCCGTGCTGGAATCGAACCCGCGACACGTTGCACGGCAGCCAGTTGCCCAGCCACCGCACCAACCGTGCAGTCATATATTGAAAAATAACTATACTTTTATTCGTCGATCGATCGATACACTGAATTTTAGATATTTTTAGGTAATTTTTAAGGACTTATTCCTTATATATATACTACGATAAACTTCTTAGAAATAAGTCTTAACTCAGTTTTTCATAGAAAAGTATCGTTTTTGACATTTGGTATAGAATTTGACTAGTTGGAAACTATCGTATTGTTAGATTCTAACTGACGAAATACCTATCTGTTCCTTCTCCTGCTCTAGGCCGGGATGCATGGTACACTATTATTCTTGCACCCACGATCCTGGTTCTCGTATGTGATGTTATTTATATAATTAATTCTTCTCAATTTAGGTTTCATGTTTGTACGATTTTTTCGACTAAACCGTAACAAAGTACTTTTGAAACGTCAAAATAGAATAGTAGTCTGTCAGTCTGTTTGTCAGTGAAGCTAAGTGCGCATTCCAAATTGTAGTTTCGAATGGTAAAAGAACGAACAAGAAACTCCGTCGTTATTAATATCACTTATAACTTATTGGTGATGTGATCACGATTGGCCAATAAGGTTGTTTAATAATCAAAAGTAAAGTAGTTATTGTAAACAAAAGTAAAGTAAGTACTTAGTTAAAGTAAACTACCTAAGTAAAGTTAACGTAGTTTAATATCTACATCAAAACTTACCTACCCAAAAGAAATTAAATAATAAAAATCAAAGTGTATTTATTTATTTAATGTTGTGTAAGGTATTAAAAAACTCTTTGCCAATTTATTGTATTTATTTTTATTGTCTTTACAAAAAGTGCAATGTACAATAGAGAAGAATAATTTATTCGAACCATACAAATATTTATACAAAGTACAAAAAATATTATTATCTAAACACTGGTTTCTTTAATTATATATAATACTAGTTACTGCCGCGGAGTTACTCCCGCTACTAGGCTCCTTTAGGTCGTAGCGTGATGTTTTATCTTAAGCTTACAGTGGTTTTCGACAAATGGATTATCCAAGATAAAAATAATAGTTTAACTGCAACCAGCAATTCCGGAGATTAGCGCTTTGAATCTAACAAACTCTTTAGCTTTATAAAAGATGTTTGTTGTCATTATTGTGTTCATTAACATGTTGTCATTAACATTCTTAACTCTCAAAAGCATAGATAGAGAGTACTTTTTAAATATTAAGCATTCAGTTTTGTTCACTTTTGAATAGTATTGGAGGAAGAGGGAGGAGTCTCAGTTAGAGTATTGCATAAGAAACAAACTCTTTGTATGGTCAACATAAGTTTTTCCAAGTCTGGTTGCGTGATTCAGCCGGGGTTGCGGGATAAGCGCAATGAGTCACCGCGGCCTCGGCCCAGAGCAGGAGAAGGAACGGGGGGTCTTTAGTTAGTAAGAGTCTGACACTCTCTCTCGCCTTACCGTGGGTCTGGGTGTGATGTGCATGTGAAAATGTGTGTCTGTAAATGCACCCACAACACATGAGAAAAACATATAGCCTAAGTGTAAAAAAACAATGGGCTAAAGTGAAAATAAAACAATATAATTTACACACATATAAAACCGTGGCTGAAGGATCAAATCCAGATGGTAGATGAGTAATAAGGAGTCAATGAAGTCAAAAGAGTTTACATAGAATTAATAAAAAAAAAGAAGGAAAAAACAAAATGCATTTGTTAATTATATAAAAAAAAATTATCTAATGAAATAAATGCAAGATGTAATACAAATAGTTTATATTAGGTGAATGATTCAAATATTAAGCAATAATAAAGGCAATATTGTCATATAAAATTAATATAATTTCTCTAATACATTACACAAAAATATCTTACCAGCATAATACATCTAACTAATATTTACAAACCTTTTATTTCATACTTCAAAATTAATACTTTAATTATTTAATACTACTTATTATAGGTAGGTAACTACTAATACTCTGCCTTAAGGAATAAAAGAATGGTAAAAAATGCTTTATTAATTTGTAAGTATACCTATGTCATGCAAAAGGCAGTGTTTATGTATGTATTTAAATAATATCTTACAAGTTCGCAAGTACATTAGCTATAGTAGTGCCATCTAGTAGGGAATAGCATAACTTTCCATTTAAACAGAAAGCTTTGTTTTAATGATAAATCACATTTGTGTAGATTTGAAGCCTTAACTCAATTTGAATTAGCAGTAAATGTGCATTGGCAACAGCTCGGTATCCAAAATAAGTCCGTGTAAAGATTCTGTCCGCTTGACTGAAGTGCAACCAAACGTTTTTGAATGTATTTTTGCTCGCAACGTGAAGTGTATCCCGGAGGCACTGTGCATATCCCACTGCATGTTGTAGATCTGTAATAATAGTAAGATCATATAAGAACTTCATAAGAATAAATATAAACCTTTTGTTTAAACTATTCGATAACAGATGGCGTTGTTACAGGAATAGTTACACTAGACTCAAGATAGATGGCGCTGTATTTAAATAAGTCAAACTTACGTGCAAATCTCAGCTCGTACTAGTTGTGACATGTTATCAGGCATGTTGACGACATATTTCCAGTTGCCTTTGTTATTGAGAGCTGCCCTAATAGGTATAAACTCAGTTCGGACGGAGCAGAGAGTCTGTGTATTAGAGGTGGCTGCTTGTCGGCGGCGGCGTTCTGCGGAAGAATCTTCGCTGTGGAAAAACATTATTTGTATTTATTTTAATTTATAGAATCAGGATGTTGACTCGACGAGCGCTCGGCTCGGAAATTTCGCAGCCGAGCGCTCGTCGAGTCAACATCTCCTGAGGATGCCCTGTGGAGGGGCGAAACACGTGTCGAGTATAGGTTTGATTGCGTGGCATGTTTTTTTTGTTTTGTGTATGTGTGCATATGCATGTGGGCGGGAGGGTGGGACCCTTGCTGCATGTGCATATGCATGATTGCATAGGAGTGGGATTGCATCCTGCAACAAGCCTGGATTTTTGTCGCGGAATTAAAACTAAATATTTTCCCTAACATTTAATGTATTTATTTTAATTTTAGCATGGTGTTAAAATTAAACTTTTATAGAGATCTTAAGAAGAAAATAAGCGTTTGCAATTGTCAATAAAACTGTTTATTACTAAGGCTAAGTGGTTTTCCTGACTCTTCTGTGAAAGTACTGAATTTAGGTTTATTCCCAGTAATAAATAAGTTAATTGGAAGTTACACATATAGTGGTTTATACTCATAGCAAAACTGGCAAAAACTGATCTGGTAATATCAGTAAGTACGAAAATGTTTTTTTCAACTTCCACGATAGACTTCTGCTAAGGATAATCTTTTAATACTTGTATCTAGGTAGCTATAATATAATCTTATAAGCCAACATACTTAGCAAGTCCCAAAGCTATCCTTAACGCCTCAGCTCCAGTTAAAGTTCGTTTCTCAGCCGCCTTCACCAACTCAGCGTTTCTCTTGCGTCTGCGCACCGTTGCCGTGCGAGTGGGAAACGTCACTGATCTCTCTATCGTCACGTCAGAGCGGGACGGTGACACGTATCTGTAAGATTTGGAGATTTTATGGATTTCATTTAGGACTTCACATCCAATGTAAGCTTTTCTAAGTTCGTTTTATTTATAACTAGCGGCCCACTCCCGCTTCGCTTGGGTCCAACTATCTCGCTATAAAGGGTCACTTTTTCCCAATCTTCTCCTCTACTTTTCTAATCTTTTCTTTGATAAGAACCTTCTCCTGACAATAACAAACACAACTAAAAAAGAATTAACAAAATTGGTCCAGGCGTTGTTGAGTTATGCGCTTACCAACACATTTTGCAATCCATTTTTATATTAAAACTAAGTAGGTATCTACATCGATTTTAAACCTGTTTAGTACATCAATTTTTCAACATTATAATTGATTGGAGTAAAAAGCGTTATTGGATGATTCTATACATCAATTTACCAAAAATTAACAATACTATTACCGTCAACTCAGTATTAACAATTGTGTCAATTAAAATACTAACAATAATTTTATTACATTAAAGCCCGCCATGTCTTACAAGCGATCGATTAAAAATATTGGTGATAATAAGTAACTGTGAAGGTAATGACTAGTTAAATATATTTTAAGGTTTTTCGAAGAAACATCCTTTATAATGAATATCTTTCTTTTATTGAGAGTATTATCTGTTGGAAGTAGGGAACGGAAATATCAACATCGCATCTTCTAAGTTTAAAAAGCTGCTATAAGCATAATCAATGTTTAGAAAAAAAAGTAGAAATTAAAATTATAAACGTCCATCGTTATTATTCATTAGATTTTGGAACTCTCTAATGTCGGCGCACGCGCAGGGCTAAGCTTCGACACTGACTGATGGAATACATAATTAGTAAAACATGATCATCATAATAAAAATGCAAGAAGTTTCTCTAACATCGATCATAGAGAAAAAAGTTTGTAAAAATGTCTATGAGTCTGACTGTTAAAGATTAGAGATGTCATTATTTATGGTCTTTTGTTTCCCACGATTGTAGGTATTTCTCGTTTGAATAAGGAACTTTGCCGATATACATCATTTATTAATGAGACATTCAAATGACAACAGGAAAGAAATTAATGACTTTTCCTTTCTTTAGATATCGACATTGAAATGGCTTGAATATGCAAACAAAATGTATTTTTTTTTTTGGTAAAATTATATTATATGGGTGAGGCCTATGTTCAGCAGTGGACGTCCTGTAGCTGATATGATGATGATGATATTAAAATAAATTCAACAATTACCTTCTTCCTTCCTTCAACAATCTTAATGAAAAACGACTCTTAAAAATATAATAAAGGTTTTTAAAGGAATAGTTTACAGTTCATAAGCGGCTAGACGGTGAAATTCATGAAAAAAAAATTAATAAGTGATTTGTAAATTATATAAAAGAAAATGAACCATTCGAATCAAATAAGAAACGGTTTTAAAGCAAATAGATAAAGAAGTCAACTACATAAAGTATTGGGAGACTTAGAGTCTACTACATTCATAAAAGTATCTAATACAATAAAATTGTAAAGCTCAAAGTTAATACAAATTTGTCTTCTGTATTGATAGTAGCTTATCAGACATTGGGGAATAGAGACCTTAAGATAGTTGTTTATTAATAATTGGAAGATAGTTAACATGTCGTGGTGACCCGGAGGTTAAGGAGCCCGCTTCTAATGCATGAGGGTGTTTTTTTTTTTTTTTTTTTGTGAGGGGAAAATCATCAAATGACTTCTCCCGCCCAGGGCCGGGCAGGAGGGAGTGTCAGACTCTTACTGACTAAAAACCCCCCTGTTCCTTCTCCTGCTCTGTGCCGAGGTCGCGGTACCTCATTGCGCTTACCCCGCAACCCCGGCTGAACATCAGCCCTTTAGGGCCCCGTCTGTGGTGGTCTATTGGCTCTTTGAGGCGCGCGCGGAACGCTACGCGCCGTACGCTCGGGATGCATGAGGGTGTGGGTTCGAAACCTGATAAGTACCAATGTGACTTTTTCCGAGTTATATGTACTAAGTATATTTAAACACTACTGACATATGGTGAAGGTAAACATTGTGAGGAAACCTGTACTTATTATTTCTAATTATAAGTTTGAAATCGCCAACCCGCATTGAGCAAGCGTGGTGATTAATGCTCTAACCTTCTCCGTATGAGAAGAGGCATTTGCTCAGCAGTGGGCACTTATAGGCTGATTATGATAACGTGGCTAAAATAGTAATCATACTTACTTCCACCACTCATTAGGATTGTACTGCGACACTCCACTAGAGGAAGGACGAAACCATTCATGGCTCTCATAGTTCGGATAAAAATTGGTTGGCTCGAAGAAATTCTGATTGAAAGGACTCTGTCTCAAGACTTTCTTGTCATAATCTCCAAAACTCCTGGTCGGGTTCCAATAACCGTTTGGGGAGTAACCATGGAAACCGAATTTGGAGAAATTGCTTGCATGGTAGGCGTTGATGTTGTATGGTGTCGGGTCGCTCGCTGTTGGAGGTTGGAGCGGGGTCTTCTGAGAAAATATGTCTGGAAAGAGATGAATTTAAAATATTAGTTGGTAGTAGACATTTGAATTTTAGTCACACATTTATAAATAAGATATTTGGCTATAGGACCAGTTTATTAAGGCTAAAATTCGAAAGTCCAATATTTTTGATGAGAAAGGTTCTAAAGAAAAGGAATGAAATCTTTCCCTTAACGCACTTGTAGCTGTTCTGGTGTCGTGGGTCTTCGTGAGTGAATTTTTTTACTAACTATCAAATGTTGCGTCTATTTGTTATTACCTACTACTATTCCTTGTAAAATCCTAATCAATTGTAGTATTTTCAATGTAGTAGTCGCTATACGTACCTAAATTAAAAAATATTTAGATAAAAGAAAAAGATCTTCTAGAAAACCTCTTGTCATATCTCATTCAGAATAAATGGAACCGTTTAGTTGTGTAGGTACATAATAATACGAGACTTTCTACAATTTGGCCTCTCAAAACTCTATAAATTTTCTACCAGGAATACATAACATAAGTGTGCAATCGAATGAATACTCGATTACATACAATTCGCTAGGTATCGACTAGTATCGAAACATCGATCTAGACAGCGGCAGCGGTGTTACAGCGACATATTCAATTTATTCGTGAGATATTCTCCTCTCACGAGTGCAAAGACGTTGGGACATCGTTTGAAAGCCATCTTTTAAAACAGGCTCAGATTTAGGAATCAAATAAATATATTTCTTCTTAAACACCAACATTAAGAAACAACTATTAGTCAAAGTCAATAATTTATTTCAATTATAAGATAAGACTTTAAAACTCAATAAACAAGTTAATTGACAATTGTAAAACATATTTAAATCTCCTGATGAAGCTGTAAAATCCATGTTTTTAACTCATATTGAGGTCATTTTTACTTGTAAATTAGGAATTGCCCTTAGGTAACTTATGTTCCCTCACGAATAATACAGACTCCTCGACTCGATAGATTTTTTCATTGCCGCTGTTTGTGCACTAATTTTGTCGGTTGCATACCGCTTGCTGCAAAATACTAAAACCCGACAAACGTCAAAAATCATTTATTCCAATTAGACCCTTACAGGTACTTTTGAACGTAAAACAAAATTTTGAAGATATTGTGTCAGTCTGTCGGTCAGTCCTCTTAGTGAAGCTATTTGCTCGTTCCAAAGTGTAGATTCCGATGGAGAAGAACGAGCAAAAAACTCCATGGTTACTCTTTTTAAACAAGTTTCACATACAAATTCCTTATTCAAACAGTTTTTTCAATTGTGTAAGAACAGTGTAACACTAATATTTATTCAGTGAAATATACTAAGACTCCGTCTAAATGCGGCCCTGTAGTCAATATAAGTAAACGCTTGACCTGTGTATCGTTTAGCGTAATCAGGTAAAACGCCTACACGATAAACAGACGTTAGAAAACCAGGAAATACTAAATCTATCGGTTACTGTGCCTCATAGACTGCCATTATTACCACTCACTTACCATTACTTATCTGACTTCTGGAATTCTTTAAGTAAGTTAGAATGTATTTTATATTAGACTCATTCACGGATGAGTACGGAAATACAGAAAAATAGAAATTCTGTCATAATCTTTACTTTTACACTTCAAATGTGGGAGATCCATGTCACGGACCAAAGAAAATCGGCGCGGCGTGAAATAACGACACAGCATTGTGTTACATCGTGTCATTAAAGTTATCAGACGTCCTATTTTCGTCTTATGTCGTTTTCCCCTTCCCCAGTCCTTCTCCAATATCTAAATCTCTGAAACCCTAATCCCCAAAAGGCCGGCAACACATCCGTAATTCTCTGGTGTTGCGGGTGTCCACGGGTGGTCTCACGATATAAAAAAAGATGACGCCAGAGGACGAGAAATTAAGATTCTTATTTGAAGTCACGTGAAATTTAAGATTAACTGTTAACCAATATTATTTTATTTAATAATAAATTAAACAAATGAACTTACCATGGTTATATCGCGTATGAAACTTGTAGTTTTTTTGATAATGTGGGTCATTGACCAGGGAAATCTGGTCGACGTGGGGCAATGAATTGGGCCCATAATCGTAAGGGTAGTCGTTTTTTTTCAGCGAAAACTCGTCGCGGGTTTCGTCTGATAGAAGAGTGCTAATGTCGTACTGTCCTGCTTCTATCAGCTGTCGGATTATTTTCCTGGAAAAAAAAGAATGCAGAAGATGAAGTATACTGTGAATTGAGAAAAGCTTCATGATTACTTTATAACTCACTCCAATGAATATTTGATAATTTTAGACTTAACATATTACACCGGCCTTATTACACAACAACGTTTTCCTTTAGATCGAAACCATGGGACGGAAAATAGCTAGAATAAAAAAAGGAAATAGTAAGTGTGGGAGAGCCATGCTTCGACACGAATGGGTCGGCTCGACCGGAGTGATACCACGAACTCACAGAAAACCGGCGTGAAACAACCACAGCGTTGTGTTTCGCCGTATGAGTGAAGTTACCGGAGGCCCAATCCTTCCCCTCCCCCGATCCCTCCCCAATCCCTTAATCTCCAAAATCCTAATCCCTAAGAGGTCGGTAACGCACTCGTAACTCCTCCGTTGCGGGTGTCCATGGGCGGCGCTGATTGCTTACCATCAGGTAATCCGTCTGCTCGTTTGCCGATCCATTACATAAAAAAATAATAAAAAGAACTGCGAAATACAAAATCCGATTCAATGGTTTAAACCTAGACTAACGATAAAAGATTGTTTTGTTATAAGGGAGATTAAGTTTAGTTCTCCGATTGGCTTGAGTTCAATTTTCTTCACGCTGTGTAGCGAGTCACTGCTTTTTGGATATAAACTCTGCTAACGACATTGTTTTTATTTTTTTGTACACTAGAACATTGACTATATTAGTTCTAACTCTGTCGCCGTAAAAAGTATTGATTTTTATAATAATCGAACTATTATTAGCTTTAACTTTTATTAATACTCTTCCTATATAAAGAATACCGAAAATAAAAATATTCGATAGACAATTTACTACAAATCAAACAAACAAAATAACAACTCACTCCGGATAAGGTTCAGGATGCACACAGTAAGTAAGTCCAGGTTGTGCACAAGGTGGAGTTTTCCCCGGAGGTGCTGGTTCCAGGGCACAGTGCTGGCCATACGGACAGCTGTATCCATCACCACTCTGGATTGATAACCAGGCTATCTGTAACAAGGATTAAAGCTGGTTAGATTGTTTCAATACTTGGGTGATGTTAAAGCAAGTTACACAACATCATCAACATTAGCGTGGTGTGAAAGATGAATGATGATTTCTGTATAATATTTTTGTGAGACGTACAGTTTTGAAGGTGGTCACGTTGGATTTTCAAGAAAACACCTATAGCCTTTCAGTTCAGCGAATCCTCAAATTCTTAGTGCCTAAAAAACCGGTGCCGCACTTGCGACTACTTGCTGTTCGTGACCATGGGCGGCGTCAATTGCTTACAATTCGGTGGCTAGCCAGTTTTTTTGCCATACGTATAAAAAATTTTAAACATTAAAAAAAAATAGGTTTTTTGTTTCCTATGAATTTCGATCTATAAATTCACTAATATAAAGAAGCAATTCAACGACAGACATATTGTATCATTATTATACAGTCATTAATTTCAACAATTACGAATCAAAAACTTTAAAGGCAAGTAACAATGAATGTGACAGACGATATCGATAAAAGGCTTATGTAAACCACAAATGTCTAGGGACACGCCTAAATCCGGACATAATATTATATGGTGATACTGCAATCTTCATTGGAAACCGCAAACCTTTTACTATTGAAATTGCTGTAATAAATACTGATAATGAAGACTTCATAATATCAAATGATGGTTACAAAATTATATTTATTACTGACCAAGTTTAGTTAGATGTGGTAAGATCAAAATTAGAGATAGTACATGCTGACTTTTATTTCCGGGTCTTTTTAACTGATTGCTACTTTCATTGGAATATAAAAGCATCATATGATGGACGTCTAAAATATTATAAGGTATTTCTTGGGTGAAAAAAAGTTGATATGCATTCTTTGGTACGTGTATCCGCTGTCAATATAAAACCACCTTTCACTGCAATTATTAAATCAATGTAAAGGAAAAACCCTAGGGCAATAAATTCAGTGTTTCTCTCTATTTGTAACCGACTTGTATTCTAACGGAGCACGTTTCTCCGTTGGGGGAATTCCATAAAACAGTACTTTTTACTTGCAAATTTAGATCGATGAGTGACGTGTGTATTTACCAAAATGTCTTTTATTTGTATTAAAATAACGTTTGCTTTTAGCAGCCCAGCTTCACTGACAAACTGACTGACAGAATAATTGTATACTATTTTGACGTTTCAAAAGTACCCGTCTATCGTTTGGTTTTAAGAAATGATTTTGACTTTGACTTTGCAACAAAGCTCTCGGGCCGTCTGGTGTAAAGCTTACCTTTGACCCTTTAGACACTTGCATAAAATACAAACCACGAGCTTGTCGAACAAAATTCCAAATTTCTGTACTTTTTTCAAAACTATCTAAGTGGCACAATATGAAACTCCGTGCAAGCTTAGAAAAAATTGCAGATATCAGACTTCTTGCTAAGACACGGTTAACTTTGCCATTAATACACATCTATTTCTGGCATTTTTCGTCAATTCTACGGAAATGTAGTTTCGGATAACAAACCAATAGTCTAATTTGCCACTGAATCGAAACTATGCGTCCATTGCCTCCGTCTAATCCCCGTGACTAACATCGACATTGACATTTATACAAAAAGTGGGCGTTGCAAACATCGGCAGACACAGCCGAACGCACTTACATCATTATTTGTGAGAACTGAATCATTATGTAAGGTAGATCAGTATATAAGGACACACTTTAATTAGAGCATCTATTGTTTAGTTTTTGCGTAGTCTCTAATTTGTCAACATGTTACGGCTAGCGATAACCTTACTATTTATGGACTTAAATTTGATCTGGATTTATGAGTGGACATTCAAGAAGAACTTAGAGATGTTACGTAATTATATTCCTTAAGAATCCAAAAAGACAAGGAAGACAGCATATTTTAGCAGCGTTAGCGACAGCAGCTTTTTGTTTAAGAATCAGGTCTAAAGACAAATTGAGCACCAGAACAAACCAATAATTATTTTTTGCTTTGAGGGCAAACGTTAAAACAAATTCAAAGATGTATTTTAAAGTTTTTTTTAAGTTAAGACAATAAAAATAATACTTTTATAATACACTAAACCTACTCGTTTGCCTATATTCCATATCCTCAGCAAACCGCTAAGGTATAGGTCGCACTTAAAAATAAACTTCACATAAGTCTCCACTACAAAAAGGCCGCGGCACTAATCTTCACACGCATCTTGTATGCACGTCGCGTAAACGAAAGCGTTGAGTTAATCTGACTTGTATCTTGAATAAACCATTGGCTTCTACTCGAAAGCTAAAACTTGCCCGCTCATGTTTCTCTATTTCTAGTATCGAGGAAGTATTTTTTTAATGTTTTTCCTAGTGTTTACATGAATTTTAATTAATCGTGTTGTTTATTGTGATGTTTTAAAAGATAGTTTAGTATTTACTGCGAAAACTGAGGCGTACCTCAGGGGTCGATACTCGGCCCATCTTGAAGGGATCTGTCATGACAATGATTTTAGACAACTATTGTTTCTAGTTGATACATATTATAATTAATTTTAAGTCTAACAAGATCACACGTTACGAAATGCAGTACTTTCATAATAATGAAGTATTTTAATGAAAGAATTACCAGATAAAAAATAATTTTAAAATAAATGCTCCTAAAATAATTGCAAAAACAGCTACCATGCATATACATTTACGAAATGTCTAAGAACACTTATGTACATATATATCTATGTAAGATGGATGTAACCAGTAACACATTCAATTGATATTAGATTTACATTCACTGCTTAAGCGAATGTTGAAATTCGGTGATTCTGTTTGATGATAAATATGCGAAGATTTTGTCGCCTGATGAATAGTAAATACTCACATAAACACTGTTAGATTATTGTAAATGTAAAAATAGGAATTGCAAAAGCTACGAGGAGTCGATTGAAATAGAGACTCTCAATTTTGCTCCATATTGTCCAGGAGATAAAAATCCCTCTTAGATATTTATTACAAGCTTGACGCTTGTAATAAATATCTAACTAAATCTCTCTAAATATCTATATATCTTAAATTAATTTCTTCATTTCCTGATTTTGAAAAATAAAGGGGAAAGATTAGGCTCAAGTGACCTCATTCACGCCGCCAAATACTTACAATGCAAACTTTACACGTTTGTATTCTGTGGGGCCATATTATTACTTCCGATCGAGTCTGCCCATTTTTGCTGAAACTTGGTTCTCCTACACTAAAAAAACCATCACTAAAAATATATGCCCTCTGTAATCTAAAATTTATACATAAATGTGAATCGCAAAATGTGTTGGCAACCGCATAACTCAACAACGCCTAGACCAATTATGCCATAATATTATATTGTTTGATGTACTTGATTTCTGCCACAAAAAGAATCTTACCAGAAAAATGTTAGAACAGTAGAGGATGAAAATGGGAAATAGCCTTCAGTTTTAGCGACGTATTTTACACCGAGCGAAGAAGGGGCGGGTAATTAAGAATCCTAACCTCTTTCACACTTACATGACAAGAGCAAGACGAAGATCACATTGCAACATTATCTGCAATGATTAACTAAATCATTGTCAAATAACTCTCCTTTCATATAAATAGTTGCGAAGGTTCCAACCTTCACAGTTTTAAACTAATGTGACGAATTAATCACAACTGTTGTACTATCACCACCATTGTCACACTCTTGTCATTCTGTTGTCACAGTATTGTCACATTCTCGATTGTGTCTCCTCAGAAAGTATTGTTGTCTGAATAACCTCGATATTCGGTTACTAATGAGTGATATTACTGGTTAATGAGAAAGAACTCAATAGTAGGTCAATTGTTCTTTTTTCAAAGTGTCTAAGCTTGATATTTTAATTAGCTACAGAAAAAAGAAGACATATGCCATCAAATATATGCCAAATTATAGTTTGGAAATAATATATTATGACACTCTGATACTCGCAACATCAGAGAAGTTACAAGTGCGCTGCCAATTTGTTGGTTGATTAGGGATTTAAGTATTAGAGGAATTGGGGATCGGGAATAGATATGGAAGGGGAGAAGGTTTTTAATCTCTTTTTTTAAAACTAATCCAGCCTTTAAGCGGTAAAAAAGTTATAATTAAATCTTCTATGGAACGATGGGTTCGATCTTTATTTGGAATTGCAGGATCATTTATAGAGGGCCTATTTTATTTGTGCAAACGATACAACGGCCTAACAGGAAATCGGCGTGAAACAACTCAAACATTGTTTCACACTATGTAAGTCACGTTATTGGATGTCCAATAATGCCTTTCCGCCCCCTCACTTATCAAATCCTCAAAACCGTAACCTCAAAAGACACGCGCTTGTAACTAGCATGGCGTCTATAGGCTGCACCAATTGCTTAAAATCAAGATCGTCTGCTTGTTTGCCACCCTATCATTTAAGAAAACTTGTACTGCATGTGTAACTGACTGTATCATAAAAGTTAATAGTAGTACATTGTGTTAAACTGTCGTAATAGTAACGTAACCAACAAAGCGATCTCTGAAATCTTCCGATTTTTTACAAATATTTTCATCGTCGCGTTGGTTGCATTGTTTGCGAAACTTCCTATAACCCGGCCAAGTTGTGGAGTGCGTGTAGAATATTAATTGTCTTAGAGATCCGTTGACGTTTAGTTCAATGGTTTTATGAATTGAAACATATTGGCCGATATTATATTGCATTTTTGTGAATAGTTAGGTAAAGCAGAAATGTTATCGACACCTTCACCTACAGTTCGTAAACCTACAAAATATATAACAGATTAGTTTAGTAGCTTTGCCTGTTATTTTTATTTAAGCTCTCTGTATAAAAATAATTTGTGCTTTAGTTTGTCTCAAGTTCTTTTTTTCATTAAAGCAAACGTATTACCCATTGTATTATTTTAACAATCTCATAAAATCTGTATCTATGTTTGTTCTAAGATTTAATTCTTTATTTAAAATAACAATAGTCATAAATATTACACCTAAAATTACGTTCATCAATATATCA